CTTCCACATGCATTGACTCCAACACCATCCGCTTCTTCGTGAAATTGTTCAGTCCGTACCATATCAAACCAATTTCATATTGGCTAAGATGGATATCTTAGCACTTGGGAGCCACTGTGTCAGACATATCTTTCATTATGGACAGTGTTTGAACAGACACAATGCATCTTGTTCCTTTCAATTCCTCGCCCACGTTTTAATAGTTCATCTGTAAAATGAAAAATCACAGACTTGGATAACGATATCGATCCTGTCTTCTGATTAGAGTTTGTAACGAATTACTATCCACGCACGTGACGATCTCTGTTTTTTGACGACGGAAAAATAATCGTCGTGAGTAGAGAAGTATCCTTTCGGTCAATTATTGTCAATATCATACACTGGGAAATGAAACATAAAACCAGAGAAGCTAACTGTGGTCAATGCATTTGCATTGTCAAAAGCCTGGAATTTTTATCACCAGCTAATCAGTGCTTGGGCTTGGGCTTGTTCGTGTTCATTCCATCTTGTGTAGGACTTGATTTATATGGCTAGTGTGAGTGATAAAATCGGGGACAGATAAGGTTGTGTATATGGCCTCACGCGAGATAGCATCTTGCTAAACAACGTTCTCATTTGCTGCCTGTAAAACTGACTGACGAACAGTCGGAATGACTCTCATTGTGCTATTCCATTATCTTGGTGGCGGCGTTGGAGGGCTATAATCACAGCATAACCATTTTCCCTATAGACGAGGGGCATTTGTGCAAATGCAATTGATTTCCTGTTAGTATGATGTTCATCTGCAATATAATGGTGACCCTCAGCTGCCATGTTGATACAGACAACAGGGCAATTACCCTGACAATCAATGGAAATGTAAGGAAAGTCAATTGCAGGCTTTGTCTACAATAACGCAAGGTAGAATGTAGGATGATACTAAAACCCTGTCTGAAGTGGTTATCAGCAATAGGGGAATATAATGGCACTTACGGTAGATTTCCTTTCGTAAGTGCACTGGCTCTCTTCCTTATGACGTTATGAACAGAATCACACTGAACCACACACTACATCCTGGGAATATGAGTGACGAAGATCTCCACAGGACACATTACTCGCTTGATATTTGCAGGAGTCACACCATGAAGCAGTGGATATGGGCAGGAGTCACACCATGAGGTAGTGGATATGGGCAGACAACACCCCTTTAAGCAGTAGATCTGTGCAGGAGACATATCTTGAAGCATAGTTGCAATCACATTTCGAAGCAGTAGACATTTGCAGGAAACACACATTGAAGCATAGTTGCAATCATACATTGAAGCAGTGGACATTTGCAGGAGACACATTGAAGCATAGTTGCAATCACACATTGAAGCAGAAGATTTTTGCCGCACCATGAAACAGTAGGTATTTGTCGGAGTCTCACCCAGATGATGATACCTGATTTAGAGCACAAACTGTTTACATTGTGCTTGTGTTAGACGTAATCATTCGATTTTGCCTATGATGTTTAAGACGGTCTCTCCACATCTTTAGACTTATTTGCAATAACACGTATCCAGAAGTTAGCATGTTGATCATAATCATTACAATCATATTCTGCAACGATTGTTTGAAGCCAATTTCATTTTGTGCAGATAATTAACATGTTACCACAAATGTTTGACCAATGCTTCATGTAAAAATAAAACAATTTTCTATGCCTCCTGTCTTCTTTGATGAAACCATTTGCCCAGTGACCCTAACTCTGCTTACGGAAAAGACCCTGTATATCTGATTTTCATTTGTAATGGAATCGTTTTCACACTTTTTTGCAATTTCATATGAAACCATTATATTCACATGTTGTTTTCAGAATTTAAAAGGTCTATCAATAGAACGATTTCTCGTTCTGTACATGTACATAAAACTCGTTCCTATGCAAGAGAGCGGAAGAAATATCTCCACACGCTGTCGACAAACACATCAAAGCTAACACGCTGCTCTGTTCTTAATTCGGTCAGCCCGCCTCGAGCCCCGGGAACACCGGCATTAGTGATTAATATTTCCCGACAACTGCTCTTACACCAATGGTCTGAAATCACAGCTCCTGAAAATCGCCTGACGAGTCTATACATCATTGAATAATGCCAATCTGGAAGCGGAAGGCTCGTTTAGTCTCACTAAGCGACAAGAAACCAGATGTGACCCTCCTCAAGTCATAGACGATCAATTTGAGTATTTTCTGTTTCATTGTCTTCCTTATCAAATAACTGCAAAACTATATCGACTTTCACCCACTGCAGGTTTTCAGGAATGTGATTATTCCAAATGTGTTTTCGATATAAAATACAAATCTTTAGGAACTCACGGCACCGTGTTTTGTTTTGATCAGCCGAAGGGAGTGTTTGATGTTGCGTTGTTCAAACGTCTGGTACTTATTAGGAGTCCTTAGCATATGTATTGTCACATCTCGTAAAATAATGTATTCTTGATGTTCACATATTGTGCAATTGATAGCAATCTATAATTATACTTATGGTGATGATGGCAACACCAGCTGCAGTGAGTAAGAGATGCTGATAACCTAGTGGTTAAAGCGTTAGCCGAAGACCCGTGTTCGAGTCCCCACATGGGTACAATGTGTGAAGCCCATTTCTAGTGTCCCCCGCCATGATATTGCTGGGATATTGCTAAAGGCGGCGTAAACCTAAACTCACTCACTCCCTCATAGGCACCCAAAGATGATACGCACAGTCGCTCTGGTTACATGGCCGAAATACACTTACGTATCAACCATTCCCTCGCTATCAGTATCCTTGTAGCTTCATGACACATCTCTATATCTGCAGTCATGTGAAAGATTAAACGTTATGAAAAGTATGATAAAACACCAGCAACATAAATCGTGGTAGATCTCTGCTTGATATGATGTGGTCAGACATGTATTGCGTGTGTATGCTACGAAGGAATTATTAGACAAATGAGATTACTGGACATGCAACGAGAAACATAATCTCTCGAGAACACTGATCGTGTCTGTGTCACAGTTCATATCAATTTCACGAAAACAATTTTGTTTCGTTTTCTAGTCTGTCAAAGGAGTCACGACAGTACAGCTCTAGCAGAACGGTACTTCGTGCTGTTCGGTGAGGCTCCCGGGGTTTCCGGATGGTTTTCATTACTTTGGAAATCGTTTTCATATTCTCCACAATTACGTACATGATAATGGTAGAGCTGCGAAATATTAAACTCGTCAAGATAATTTGTTGAAATTGCCTCTAATCCATCTTCTACTGATGTCTGTTCCTTTGAAATGACTTTTCGTGTATTAACGTATTCTGTCAGATCGGCAGTGTTGTTGCGGAAAGAATGAGTGATTGCACGTTCATTCCGTTCACTACCGTGTATGCGATCTAGTGGATAGTACATCTACTCTTAAGGTCGGCGGTCGCATCCCCGGATGCTTTGTGAGACGTTAAGGACGGTACTTGCTGGTATCCCGCCTGGTCTTCGGCTTCAGGCGGATATAGAAGGACTGGTTGGCCCAGAGTCTGTATTCTCTGTCTGAGTAGGGTATCCATATTATTGGGTGGCATGGTATCTCCGTTGTTCCGTCCGGACTAGAACACCACAGTCACACAACATTCAACGCCCACGCACGCGCGCGCACACACGTCACCACGCACATACACGTCATGCAATGTCCTACATCATATGGAATGGAATTATGAATCCAGTACATATTTGACTGACTGCCATGCGCAAGGGGCGCAGAAAGGCCTGTTCCAGTAGTTTCCAGTTCACAGTAGCAATATCACTTTCCGAAACGGGACTGATAGAAAGCAGTTCAAATTCGTCAGGTTCAGGTGTGCTAAATGATATTAATGACCATTAGCAGAAAGTAGTAAATGGATAGTTAACAATGAGGATGTACTAACATAAATTTTACACTACTTTTGATGCCAGATAACCATTTTACTCGTTCGACGAACGGTGTATAAACCAAATATATTGTATTGATGTTATTAAAAACGCCATTAAAAATACCAGACACTGATCATTTCGATAATATCTTCAGTAGCTTGCAATATTCCATCTGAAAATGTGATCAATCATATGCTACCAGGAACTGGATACATCACATACCCACTATCGTGGATTTTAGACTATGAAGACACGTGCAAATGTGAAAATGACTGCGCTTGAGTATTGAATATTTGGATAAGAGGAACTATTTAGATGTATAATACAATTAACATATGTTATATTTGGGATTACACTTCCTCGGTAATGAGCACAATTTAGTACTTTTGTTGGGTTGAGTTCCATCCGGGACCGTCAGAGTCAGGCACCTAATCGCCTGAACACAAAGTCAGCCGCCGCGATGTCTGAACGGGTCAGACGGGTGACGGCTGATTTTGTGATATTTTGCAATTTTGTGATATTTTGTAATTATGATGTTGTGAAGATAATGCTGATATCAAATAGATGTTATAACCATTCATTTTGAAAAATCCAATATGTCATAACAGGCGTATTCCATGTATTCTGTCAGGACTCATATGCCCTGTGTTCCCAAAGTACAGCCACCTTCTGGTCATTGTTCACAAAAGCAAAAGATTTGATATAGAGGCTGATGAACTGCTCCATTCACACGTATGTTTAATACGTTCATATTAGATTCTAAGTACTGTAACAATAAGTGGCGAAGCAGCCTAGTGGTGAAAGCGTTTGCCCCTTACGCTGAAGACACGAGTTCGATTTCAAACATCACACCAAGAAGTATTTCTGTGTTCGCAAACTCTGATACGTGTAGAATATATTGTGAGAGCATACTTTATTACTCTTGTATACACACTCTGTGATCTGACCCATTAACAGCTAGTTCGTCTATTCACTGTACCTACATGTGAGATGCCTCTTAAGAGATGTCCACTTAACAGTTGTCGATGCAGCAATTTTCGATATCTTCGTAACTTCTCGTATTCCATATTTGTGCTGTTTAGAATACGGCAAGCATATGACAAACAAAGAGAAAAAAGAGATATATTCTTTATTTACATTCAAGGGTATCAGTTGTACATGAAATGTGAAAATGTTTGTACAAAGAAGTCGAGTACCATGAATATTTACACGAGGCACTCATCACGAAAGATACAAGGGGGTCTGTGTTCACTGTTCGACTGACAAAGTGAAACATTTATCGAGGCATGTGATTGTGTGCAAGATACAAAATATTGTCCTTAGAAATTGTTTTTGACGTACAACGCCGTTTAGCTACATGTAATTGTCTCAGTCCCGGAGATGTACTACCACACCTGAATGGAATATTTCAAAGTATCAACGCCTTCATACGTATACAATTGTTTGTTTTACCATATGCATCATCATACACTTACACAATAAATGCACATCCGTATGAAAATATGCATTATAACGTAATATTTTATTATACACCAACATGTCAAAAAACATATAGCAGACATTCAAAATCACTAGTTAGATAATTTAAACCTTCAAACGAAAAGCATCAGCAAAAAGCTGGTCAGGCAATTTAAATTCCTGGTGTATATTGGTATCAATTTTGTTGGTTCAGTTATTTTACCGATTACTTAAGTTCAATTTCTAGTTATCTGGCCACCTAACCAAACTCAGGATATTTCGGTTAAAAGAAGTCAGAAGAATTCTTATCTGAACGAAACGTCAACCGGCTACACAACAGAAGTAAATGAAAATAACTTTCTGTTGAAACAACCAGTGCATCGTTTCCAGTGTTATCTTTGTGCTTGATGAATGAGGTGCCAGCTCCATAAATTGAATGTATGAAGGATGATATACCATTCAATCTTCTGCAGCCTACAGCTCGTGTGTTTTATTGATTTATCTCATTGTGCAGTGGTGTGTCTTATAACAGACCTTTTTCCAAATCAACAATTTCAAATTACAAATGAACATGCGAAGTACTTCAATTATGCACATGACACTTCTCATATTTACATAAATAATAATTTTAGTTTATTTCATCCCTTTGAGCTTGCTGGTAGTAATCAATCTTGACATTAATATGTAAAAAATAAGCATATTTTTTGTCGTTTCCTGAAATGGAATACTTTTCCTATAGCAATGAGGTATGATCATATAAGAGGATTAATTTCAGTAAACGTTTATTTTCAATTCAAATTGCGTGCACGTCAACATGTCGGTTTGTGTGCAGTCATTCCCATGTCGAATTAGTATAAAAGCATCAACAGCGGTACAGAGGAGAGAGATTCACCTTTTAGATCTTACAAAAATACCGATGCAATATGTTGTCAGCAGATATTAAGGGCACACGAAAAAACCTGTGGCAACTGAAAATACACAAAAAACATACCCATGAAGGTAAATCTGGCACTGAATCAGTGCTCAGTGATCGTCCATACAGTTATCCTGGCTTACTGTCTAGTAAACATCTTAACGAGATTTAAAAGCCACATTCACCCTACTGAACAAACTTTTCGTCCATCAACTTCATAAGAACGTGTTATTCGCATGCCGGTCTGCATACATCATTTACCTTTTTTACGACTATATATCATGTTCATATTTTTAGAAAACTACTTTGTGCAGATCTCATATGGATGTATTGTAGATCTCAGAGTGCAGCGTTGAACATCTCACTGTGCTGTATTGCCGTTCTCACGATACTGTATTGCAGATCTCAGAGTCTCGTAGTCGTTGTGACATTGTAATTGGTTTGTTTACAATGGCATCCTCTTGTTTAGGCATGTACTTCGTCTAATCTCTGTATTGTTTTACCTATTCTCAAGAAGCAGTGTTATCGTATACTTACAATGTTTTCTATCTTGTTCTTACAAGAAGTTTCATCGTATGCTCGCAAAATATTTCATTTAACTCTCACAAAGTGTTTCTTTGTATTCTCACAACGTGTTTCATTGTATTCACACAACGTTTTTCACCGTATTCTCACATCATTTATAAGTCCATTTATTTGTTCTGGCGGTGTGCCGACAACTGTTAATCTTGTATCATTTCTTTTTATATGATCGGGCTGAAAAGGAATAGAAATGAAATTAGAATCAAAACACAAGAAAACATAGAAACTACAAGTTTTCATAAATCGACCATACATGTGTTCATTCCGTGAGTATTCATGTTGGGACCAATTGTCTTTGCACATTGTCTGATGGTATTTCGCGATCAATGCGAAAATAAGGTTTGCATTATGCAGTACGATATATGACTTGACATTTGTCGTGTGACAAGGCACCGCGGAATAATATCAGATTACACTCTAGACGACTACTTGCATCTCTTTATGAAACGAGTCCCTGTTGACGTTCTAACGTTCTCGTAAGGATGGCTTAGCGTCTAGTGTTCACTCGTCATGCTTAATACCCGGGTTTATTTCAACACATTGGCACAATGTGTTAATCCCTTTTGAGGTGGATGTAATGTAATATTTTTAAAAGCGACGAAATACCACCAGGCTCATTCACCCACAAATTAACTTCCACGCTGGACCCTGATTCCATTTGGGAGGTTGTGACCACAGGTCCTCGTGTCTTTGCAAGGATTATTTTTTTGAGATGACCCCCGACTCGAAATGCTTCACAGTACAACACATCATGATGATGCTTCACAATACATCATGATGTATTGTACTGTGAAGCATTTCGAGTCGGGGGTCATCTCCAAAACAATTTTGTTTTAATCTTTATCCTCACACAGACAAGACGGCCTGTGACATATATTCATACCCAGAAAGAATGGGTATAGACGGATAATGCACAGGGAACTTCTATTTAATCTGTTTACTATTTAAGTGATGCCCCGTGCATATTCCGGGTTCAACAGTTAAATCTAGTAACCTTTGCTTAGTATTAATGGCAAATGAATAGGGTCAAAGTCAATTACTTACAGACCGCTTTCATGTATGGAACAACAGTGGGTGCAGCGTTAACCCACAAACAAATACTTCGATGTTGCGTTATCATACCCGTACTACATTTATTTATAATTTGCTATGAATGTATTGTCCAAGATATACTCTTCAAAGAGACAATTTGAAGAGACAAATACCTTTTCAGAAATCGTTAACAGTACTTTATAGCATTAATTGTACTATAGTAATGGACGAATTGGGAACACGTTACGATTTGATCATGGGCGATTTGTGAACTATGAGCTCGGGCTTTGTCTGAAGGACCAAACATCGACCACTTATCATTGTTCTGATACTAAGTATAAACATTCCTCTGATTGTTTTGAAGAGCATAAAACAGGACATATAGAGCCTCAATTGTCCTTGCCGAACGATGATGTTCAGGATGGTTGTTCTGGGACTATGAGATGTATCTACACAGGTTCAGTTAGGCCTTTACGTTTCTTTTTGGAGGCGAAATATAACTTGTATACACTTTACTTTTATAAACATGTGTCCATGCACATAGATATTTCCGAATATCAGGTAGTGTTAATAACATTGTAAAAACACTTCTCGTCGTTTGTGCATCATTGGTAATTGTATGTCCTTCATATGCACTGATGTAGATCATGTACCGTTAATCTGAATATATATAAGACACATGACAACAGAATACTTACAGCAGCGCCCGGTATAGGCCTTTTCTTCAAACAGAATATTTCTATAATACCAGTTACTATTGACACCACAAGGCCACTTATTAATATATAGAATATTCCAGCAACGTTGCTTAGGGACAGCGACCGCTTTTTGGATTCCTGAAAGTGAAATATACGTCCATTAAATTTAACAGGTTAGAAATGTGAAATCGGTTTAGCCTGTGTACGCAATATACTTATACGAGATTTCGAAATGACAACGTTAATGCTCGGTCAACAATGTTTCTTGTTAGCACGGTCGGTATGGTATAGCCAGAGTTGAAGTTAGTGATGTAGGTTTGGAGCCACTTTCAGTAGTGCTTCAGTGTTTTTCGGAATGTCCGAATATTTACTCAGATGTTTTTTTACACACTGATTAACCTACGGATAGTATACTGGTGAATAATGCATCTTGGCGAATCTAGGATTTGAATCCACCCTCGGCAAATCCCGGGCTCGCAAAGGACACACCTCTCACTGCTAGCTCATCCATGCTGCGCTAAAGTATGTGTTGGGTAATTTTGAAAACATGCCTTGCTGCAAAATGAGACCTCCAAATCCATTACAGTTTAGTTCAAACGGCAATATTTGAGTACGTGACAACCCCTGGAAAGTACGAGGCAATCTAAGCATATGTTATCTGATGGAGTGAGTAGTGAGTGAGTTAAGATGTAAAGTCATGATCACATCGGCAATATTTAAAGCAATATCGTAACTAAAAAAAGTTCTAAATTCATAATACATACATATAATCAAAGGAAAATGTTGGTTGCTTGATGCTTTATTCCGTTTCATGTAGCAGCTGATACTGTCGTTTCATCAAAATAACCGAGCACAATGTTTATCATTTTTATACATGATAACTATATTCCTTTGAAGCCGAATTTCTACTTATATTCATCATAATCCAACTTCAATTAGTAGACCTTATTTCTGATCCAAGTCGATAGTCAACCATGATATCCCATCATAAGAACTGGAACAACGGCCATATGGACATAGTTTGGAAGATTTACCGTGTGTATAGTTTCTTGGTGTTCAAACAAGAGTGTGTAAACAACATGTCTTGTTACAGACAATTCAGCTGCATGTAGGAGTCAACATCGCTGTCGACAATAGTCAACTACAACCGGAAGTCCATGACAACCGAAGCCAGTTACACCAATGGTTAAGAGCTATTGAAACAAATCCACCTGGGTACTACGACATCCAATCCGGCAAATCACAAAACCCGAAAATATAATCTTCTTTGGTCGGATCTGTGACATTCAGGCCCCTGGACCCTAGTCCTGAATCTCTATGAGGTACGCATTTGGAGGCATATAATTCTTACCCTATGACCTGTGTCGGAACCGCACTCTGTTTTCTCATACCACCATGTTTGTTGAAGCTTGTGTAAAGTGCCATCTTCTTTCAGTTTTAACACTGCATAGCTGATTTTCTCTCTGAAAAAAAAGGTCTGTATCCTATAGCCATACTGCAACAGCACGTCATTTATAAACCATTTCCATGATCCTTAGAACACTGGTTAATAGCAGCGACCATCGTACAACTGATATTACATCACAAGCATGGTTTTGAATCATTAAACAGTGATAATACAAGGAGTTTGCAAAGCCACGTACGTGTCCTGCGCCAGTTGTGAAACCAAGCGTAATGCTCTCCTCCGCCTATACAAACTTTTCCTTCACCATTCTGCCTTTGGGGCTCTATTAATTGTGTTTCGGAAGATAATCGAAACCTGTTATTCTCTGGCGCTGACGTCGTAAATCGCCCAAGTCTAACAGCCCTGTATTAATTGTATTGAGTGTTTATAAGGAGGAGCATTCCGTGTCTGAGCCGATTGCTGAGCCTGTAGATGCTGCTGTATGAGGAAACGCATCATGCAAATCAAATCCTTCAAACTCAGGTGAAACCAGTGACAGTGAATATCGGATTCGCACCCACGACAACGAATCACTATTTGTGTCCCTTTTTCAGAAGCACACGAACATAAGTATGTTTTAACAACAAAGAACAACTATCAATGGGTTCCTCACACTCAAACCCCAGACTGAAATGATCGACATGCACAACTCAGATGCCAGTGAAACAACTAAGCTCCCTGTAACTCATAACATGGGTGAGTGAGTGAGTTAAGATTTACAGTCACATCGGCAATATTTCAGTCATATCGTGACTAAAACAAGTTTAGAATTCACCATAAATACATGTAAATTATATAAACCTGTCAACGAAGGACAATAACACCAACTAGACTATCACAATATCAGGAAATAAAACTAGCATTTCTCTCTAAAATTGGATTTCAAATTTGGACAATACAATATAAAAATGGGCTATAGATCGCCAACAACTGAAAGTAGATCACCATACTAGGAACTTCATAACATGGATTACGCAGCCTGCAGATCTATGATGTGATCTAATGTTGTTCTGAACCTGACTTTCTCCTTTTGTAACACAAGTATACTCGCCGTTTTTGCACCAAATGTCTGCGTATGTAATTAATTACGAATTCGAACGTCACATTACATTTCTGTGATAGCAGATCTATATCAAATTTAATCATAAGTGTATTATCGTCACACTTTTATACTGTCAATACAAATAATAAACAATGATATTTGATATTTTATTAGTTTTATGTCCATATATACTATCCCAAAAGAGAAACGCATAGGCCAGAAATCTGTTGCGAAAATGTTGTATTTTCAAACATGTATAATTCGCCCACAAATAGACTTTAATACATGAATTTCTACACCAGTTTAGAAGAAGGTAATGTCTAGTAAGCAAACAAGTGGATACTTCTAGATAACGGAGACGTTGAGCGTGATGGTGACGACGTAGCACGGTCCAGACGTCGGGTCTCCTGGCTCTCAGACCAATCTCTTTCAACCTGTTCCGTACAGTTTGACCGGATATCCTCCGAGGTCCAGGCACCCTGGCTGCTGTGCTCTTACCCGTGGCAGTACGATCACGCAAATGTAGTACCCGGATGTACCGATCTTGGGCTGCAGTAGTGACTCGAGGTCTGCCTGTACGGGGACCGTCATTTGTTATACCTGTTTGGTTGTAACGAGCTGCAAGCCGTGATATCGTGCTCAGACTAACATTCAGACGCCTGGCAACAAAAGATTGGTAATCTCCAGTGTGCATTCTTTCAATGGCGATGTTCCGTGTCGCAGCGTCAAGACGTGGAGCAGTAATTTGACCTTGAAACTTCTTCAAAACGAATGCCAGTTTCCAAAAGTAATCTGGATTTTTATAGCCAGACAGTGCATGCTCTTTGCTGCACAATTTCAACTGGAAGGTGATTTCTGTTGCGTTGTGGCGATGCCTTTTAAATCCTTGTAAGAAGTCTCCTCAAAATCAACACTTTCAGGAAAAGTCGATTTTTTACTTGTGCAATTGTGTAAAATCATGCTATCAACACTTTTCTTACATATTTTGACGATTGTTTGAACACAATAGGTAATTAATAGATTTTTATAAATACAAATCACCTATGCGTTGCTTTTTTGGGATAGTATATGTATATCAAGACCTAAGAAGTGGAAAGCTGCTCTCGTCACTTAGTGTAACCGGCATGACATTAATATGTTTAAATAGATATTTTATACATGTACATTAAGCGTTTAAAATGTACTGAAATATCCTCGAAATCCAAATCTATTAGGTTTTTATGTAGGAACAGACAGTCATATTTAGATGACATTTCGTGCTCTTGGTACGAAGATTAAAGGACGTCATACTGATCTTGATCAAAGTTACAAAATTCAATTTAACATTTTCAAAATTGTCTCATCAGCGACACAACTTATGTCTGATGCAATTCCCCGTTTTGACTTATACCATATGTTACATTGAAAAATGAGGACTATATTTTATGGATATACAACTTCTTTATTCTGTATAGGCGACATTTCGACATAGATTCTAATGTCAAGCAACCTTATCTTCTCGCGAAAAAGTAGTTCAATTTTTAAATTTATAATTTCAAAGTGATTTACAACCCTATGCTCAAAGTCGGAACAATCGACTCTTTTGTTAGGTTTCTTGTGATCATGGAAAGGCTATTGTTGCTTTTATTGCCAAATGTGCATATAATACACGATAGATATGTCATATCCGATATGTATGATCTATCATAAGCAGTACACCATATACATGTTGACATCAGTAGCACATTATTTCCTGTTTGAAGTTCTGTAATATATCCTTACAAATATATTTTGTGACACATTAAAATGCAACTGAAACCCTCTCATACACGAAGAGCGCCACATTTACCATACAGAAACATGAAAAATGTCATTAAACAAACCAATTTCGTTAGCCTATTTCAAATCTGAATCGTGATAACGACGGGCTGAAATGAACTAACAACTGCTGGAAAATCGTTTTCTGAATATCACAACACTTGTACGTGAGATTAACTTACTTCAAGTCGGAGCCAAGAGGAGTTGCGATGCCGAAGCCCTTCAAATTCAGGTTGGGCCCGACTTTCATCGTATTACATGGTTTCCTATTATTATAATATTCGTTCATTGTTGATTCCAATAAAAATGCATATTTGGCTTTAAAGTTGCGAACTCTCTCCACCCCAGCTTCGATCGAGTCTACGAATGGGCTCGGCGTTGCCGTCGTCATGGCGTTGTACATCGTCCTGTATGTGGGAACTGCCGTTTTCTGAAAGATGGAGTGGTTCAATTGTCATTTGTCTTTGATCAGAAGGTTCCATCCCATTCATGACATGAATCAGTATCCGCTAAAATTGATTTAATATCAATGAAAATAATGCCGCGGGTGTAGTAATTCAGTAGGATTTAATTAAATGTGCATTTATGTTACTATGGGTTCTCAGATCTGAAGGTTTTAGAATGCGGTAGGTTTTTATGTGGGTTTTAGCAATAAATGTGTAAATATGGTCATTGTGACAAACAGCAGGGCTAATGTCCAGGATACTCTTGTAGCACCAACGGCAGATCCAGGATGTGGCTCTGGTAGAAAAAAAAATGTTGATATTTATGTAAATGCTCTTTCGAGCAAAGGGCATAAACCTGCGTTTTTGTAAAGGGTTTCATTAGTTCAGATGTTTTGGGTTTTTTTATTTAACGAAGCATTAAGCAATAGATCAGCTATATGGCGGCGGTCTATTCAAGCCTGGACCTGACAGTCCAGTGATCAACATCAAGAGCATCGCTCTACGCAATCGGGTCAAAATTAAAGTTAAGAGGTCTGGTAAGTGATAAATGTGATTGATATCCATTTACGAGAAACGCATTAAATGTGTGTGCATGCTTCCGTGTGTGTATAGATTGTACATTATTTACGACTAATCCCTTTTTTAACAGTGCTATCCCATTTTACAAGTGTTAGTCCAAACAATACCGTAGTCCAATAGGGGTACTGTACTCGGACTCTGCTCATTGACACTGACCCGTAATGTTCTTGTTTTTATCCGCATGCCATTGAGCATCACACAGGGTAACAACAAGAAACTTGTTTTAATTTCTATTATTTCTATTGACGCCGGACGCTCGCTCTATTCAACAAAGCGACTTGGGGATTTCGGTTTCATACAATCAACCTCTGTGCCACGAATTCCTCTAAGCTGTAGCTTTATAAACATTTGCATTTGATAAAAGTGTTCAAGTTTCAAAACCGGCTGGGATGTTTTGAGGCTGAATCAAAAACGTTTTGTTCTCCGCTGAAGATGAGAATATATCAAGTAATGTCGGCACCAAATGACCTAAGCATCAAAGTATGTTTTCATACCGCAAAGAATTCCCTTGTCGATCCCGATTTTAATGTTCCATACGATATTTCTGTTTGCTTGGCAAGGTCATCAGCAGATTTGATTGGGGTGAGCATCCGCTCTATAGTGAGAAAGGCGGCTAGGTTGGCGGTGTATGACGATATGATGATCAGCACAAAGAACCACCATGCCCCTCCAATGATGCGACCAGCGGCTGACCTGCAACAAATACACACACACATTTACATCAAAGGCAAAATAACTCACACAAGTTTGAGAACTTCATGCATGTCACGTCTTCATCACTGACAAGTTTAAATGCGCTGGTTGCACTCGCAACGGGTGAAATGTTATTGGACATTAATAATTTCATTCCGGAAACTATTTCCTAAACATTTCAAATCTGCCGAGCAAAATGAACGTACTTGAAACACGTTTCGGTGAAAAGACTGGGTACTTTCATTCCCATTAGTGAACTATTGGGGACGTGTATGGGTGTAACTGTATGTGATCTTTTATTTTTGTACATAGTAATGATAAAATATTCCTTAGCTGTCATGGTCTATCAGCGTGTGTGGTGTTTTGAGTACACAGAAGAATAACCTGGTAATTAGTACAGTCCATAAACAGGACAACACTAGTTTCAGTGTTCAGTTACACATAATACATTTATCATTACCTTACCACGTGATCATGAATACTAGTATACATGTGCATCATTTGTACTTTCAGAGATATCGACTTTGACTTATATTTAAATATCTCGTTATCTTCTTTGAGAAGAATGGAGGCTGACATATTTTGTGGAAAACATAAGCCACTGAGAAGATTCCAGGTTTCCATACTAATAGACTGCAATAATATACTTAAGTAGAAATTTCAGTCCCCAGGACTGGGCTTAAAAATGTCCAAAACAGAAGAAAGAAAAATCGCAAAAATGACAGTTCCGTACAATTAACATCAAACACACCTCTATATATACCGTATGCATGACATTTCCATCGATATAAGAACACCTATTACATCTTTCCCGCATACGCCTCATTATAAAAGTTGAAATATAAGTCTTATACTGCGTTCTAATTTGCTACTTAAAGGATTACCCGTCATTCTTCTCTTGACGTGCGTTCCCCTGAGAAATGAAAAAGTGATTTTTGTCGAACTGTAGCTCAAGATGCGTGTATCACTCTCCCAGTTAAAGTGCAACAGGGGCCGATAGTGATATGAAACCTCCCTTCATTTCTGAATATATGAGAACTCCACGTGTAGGACTGTATGGTGAGGGAGCAATTCCTCCAGAACATACGTCATTTCGCCAGTGTATTTATGATGAAACGTAACCTGTTTTCGTGGTTTTATGCCACTTCTAATACATCACTCGGACTACGACCAGAGCTCATTGGTTGCATCAGACATGTTTGTGTAGTTAATTGGATGTTTCACTCCAATATCTGAGACAAAAAGTGACTTTGTATGAAAAAACGTTTCGGCCCGCGGTATGTATTCCATGTGAAATGCCAGAAATGCCTCAAAGAGGATATCACCAATTTGGCGGAAAAAATATAGTTGCAACTCTGCTGTTATCAATTTCATAGCTGACAGATTTTGCATGTCAAAAATACACCGAATCATCATGCGACCTTACGCATCTCCTCTTCCCATCATAAGTCATATGTAACAGGATTAAATTTTGGTAATGTGATATAGATTAATAGATCCTTCTTTTACAAAGAGGATGTACGGTGCCAGTTTCAGAATGACCTTTCAGTGATATCACTTTATATTTCCGTATACATTTTCCATAACCTGTGACATTTTATTAATGATTATTACAAAGTGGGTCTCCTCCTTCACAAACATGAGCCAGTATGAAGTGTGGGGTTCCCGATATCGTCAATCATAATGAGTATACATTCACCTTGGGCAATGGTCACTTCCTTGTAGCATTAGAGCTCCCATCGAAAACCAGAAGGAGTTGGACAGCGTGAACTGATTCTGAATCATGTCTCCAAATGTCAACGTCAAATTGTGCCACTCGTAGGGACTGAATCGGCTCACAAGAAAGATGCTGACGCTCACGACCACGTATGCTATAGATATGCATGCCCATAGTTGAATTGAAAAAGGCTCCATGAAGGAAAAGACACCAGGCTTTTGTTTGTCAGGGCGCTTTATCATTATGCTAATGCCCATGTTCATGAAGGGTTTTGAGAAGTCGACCACCCGCTCACGTTCCGCTGTGATTGTTAATGGAGCAATTGCCAGTTCAGCTACCTGAAATAAGACAGATCAATAAGCAACGGAAGGAATGCTGGCGTGCTGAAATCGACAACGGTAATTAGTGATATGGACATGGGTATCGGTGCGGTCGACAGCCTTTGCAATCTTGACCTTTGGTGTTGGAGGCAGAAATGGACATTACTGTTGGAAGAACGCACCTAATGATTAATGACATCCGTGTGAATGTAGGTAGTAGGAGTCACTAAGGGTATTACATTATTGGCGTTAGTAATTACTGATATGGACTGGGGTCTTAGAAATTAGGGTTCTTGAGATAATTTGTATGCGCTCTTGTCCCTTAAACAATGGGCTTTGCGCTCTTATGGTGATTGAGGGACATATTAAATGGTCCCACAGATATAGGTCATATTTGTCATGAGAACAGAGTCGTGCTTATCTGTCTGTGGAGACAAGAGTTCGGACCTTCACAGATCATTCTGGGCGCAGTTCGTTATCTCACTTACAGAGTGTTAACTGGGGTTATGTGCGATCATATACCACGCTGACACAAAAAGGGTATAGTCGGGAAACAGAATTTTCTTCTAATCCCTTAACAATAGGGAAGGTAATCTGTAGTATGCTAATATCATTGCCACCTTCTAACGTTCGGGAGGCCTTTTGTCTTGAAATGAAATGAGGTAAAATATAGTTATTGGATTATGTATATAAATATATTGCCAGAAATGATTAATCGCCATGTGGCTATTGTTTCAGTGTTCACCGAGAGTTGTCAATACACTATGGACATACTAGCACCTAGCTGAAGCAATAACCTTTGACAGAATAAAGGTACTAAAGACAGTACAAACGCAATTAAATCGTTATCGCAAGGGATATGATGCTTATGATTAACTTTAATAATGTGAAGTATTTGCACTAATTCACTTAGACGAACGCACAAGTATGCAAAACAAATCATTTAATTCATTTAATGAACAAGGCTTTATATTTCTGTTGCAGTACAATGCAAGCGTGCAGAGGAATCTTAGAAGCAAGGTAATGCGTCGAAACAATCTTATCGTTCTGAATTCCCCACTTACAGAATAACTGACATAAAGAGGTGAGGAAATTAGGACAGGGATATTGCATGGTTGATTGTTTTAACACAGATAATAGTACCGTTGAAAGGGTGCAATTCGTACATAGATACATTCTTCAAACATTGTGTTGTGAACGATTTTGCTGCTGCTTTTAATGAAGATTACTTATTTCAAAAATGGAAATTTCAAAGTTTACTGGCATGAGCACAATGGATTTCCTTTGTAAATTTCGATATTGCAGTCGCACAACCATTGCCTTTGTCAAAATGCCGACTGTGGGATTGAGTACGATCTGACATCACCCCACGTCTCAGTTCTCCGATCATTCCGCTCCACGAGCCATTCTTCAGATCCTCGCCAAACTGCCCGTCGCGAACCTCGCGGATCTCGTAGTCAAACTCCAGCTTCTCCGAAATCTCGTCAGCCAGATCTCGGCAGAATCCTGAAAGAACCAGAGTGAAAACTGAATTCTAAAATGACAGCTCTCATCATATTACATAACCGAATAACCAGGAAACATTTAATGAACTGGAGATTACAACTAAGCTGTTCTGAAGGTCCGGACTAATATTCTACTCAGAACATTGCAGCTCTGTACGTAGATACATGTACATTTAAAAGATAAAGAACGTTAACGACTGGGGATATTATATTGACAAAGTGGACTTGCATACTATAGCCATATATTTTTCTTGTACAGATACACGCTCCCTTCCGCACTGCTAGGGGCCACTCGGTATAATGCAACATGAACAAATAACACAATGTTATGTCGATTGGATAAGATTTTCGCTCTTACGAGATTGAAAGAGATCATTGGTTATTATTAAATTATCACACCATGGCTTTGCTTGTTTTATAAAAAACATTCATCATTAACCGAACCACAATAACAAGCAAATACATCAAATTCTGATTTTTATTCATTTTTATCCTTTCAAGATATTTATTTTCGTTTCGTCAAACACAAGAAAGATACATCGTGAAAACTCATTTCCCCATTGTATTGTCAGATAAAATTATGCATGATTACTTGGAAGAGCTGAATATTATTCCGTTGAATTTTACTTCATTATTGTAATTTTCTGCATGAACTCGTATGTGATTGTCTGTTCTGTTGATGATGCCAACATGTGCGGACACAGTCGGGGCCTCGTTGCAGATTTAATGCAAACAAGGGTTGTGTTCATATTACCGAGGTAAACTAACTAGAAATCAGTTACATAAACGGTTTAGAGGCATTCAATTAAGGTTTCAAAATAATCTCATTCTACAGAAAACATATCACTTTGCACGGAATCCAACAAAAGTAAGCTTGCCAACAGTTTGCCCTCAAATCTGCATTAAGAAGAGATTTATCTGATGAGCAACTTAATTCGACATTTCCGAAAGAAGTGTGCTTTCCATTTGCAACGGAAACCGCCTTCCCCTATCAAAATGGTTGTTCTGCTACAAAATATTCTTCAACGAGGAGCCCATCTGCATGTGAAGTCCACAGAGAATTAACTAAGCCTGTTTGGCGAAATAACCCAAGTGGCGCACGGGCTAAGTGGCACAACATATAAAGTCATTTCAGTATGTTGGAGACATTTCTTGAGGCGCTCGATCGATACAGTGCTGTATTCTCCTGTAGGGTTGATCAGGCCAATTTACCTCATCGCCATTCACGTCTAAAAATCGCTTACCCCGAGGTATCGGCAAGCAATAAGCAAATATACCCAATTTAGTGATTTGGAAGCAAATCTTAACGGCAAACCTTCGTATCTATTGTTTCCTAGGAGGGGCTTTCCGTTGTCAGGCGTCTTCTTCTTCGCCAAGAACGGTGGAAGCTGGAAAAAAGGATGGTAAATGGAGAAAGCGGTTGGAAATAACACAGACTTGACGTAGAATAACACCAATTTTCTATGGTAGAAATGTCAAAACCAGATGTCCAAACGGCTTCATTGTGTATTTTCAAATTACAGTTCGGCGAAACATTTTAAGCAAATTTTCAAGTGAATCATTACTGGAAGATCTGAATAAAGATGAATCTGTCTCCAAGTCTTTTGAATGTGTTTCTGAAGAAGGATAACGTCAGATCGGCGTGTGATGACATACGTTTCATGGATACTTAAGGGTCAGATATGTACATAACGGTTATAGTGACGGCAAACCAAACTTGATGGTACGAAGCGATCATAAATACAGCCAATAGGTGAATTTCACATTTCTTCTTCTTTAATGTCAAAATATGGAGTTAACCCTTTTCACGCGTCTACTAATCATACATGAACGGACAAAACGTGGATGTGAGATAAATCAAAACTTGAATCTTCATATTCACTTTATATTCTCTGGATAAGTATAACTCCAAAATACTGGTCGTTTATGTGTTTGTTAAGCGATTCACTCTGTCATATCTCTAGGGCTATAAGAGCGTTGCGTGGGACATGTGCGTGGGATTAGAAGAGGAGTACAAAGAGAAATCGTGTTCATCAGTCGAAAAAGTACTTGCATGTACTGTTACGTGACTTTCTCAACAACCAAGAACCGCGTGTGACCTGGGAGACTGGACGACACCTCATGCACTTGGAACCGAGTGGAATGGCAACCCCATTCTTCAAGAAGGGCTTTGGGGGTAATGGCTGCAGCTTATGTTGTCAGGTGTGTGTCCACGAAAATGACTGTCCAGCATATCCCTCAGATGCTCAACTGAGATCCGATGACATTGATGGACACAACTGTACGTTAATGCCCGGGGATTTCAACAGATAAGGAAGGAATCGCACTGTGCGGGGACTGGCGTAGTCATGTTGATGGCAAGTAATGCCTGAGGTAAAATCTGGTGCCATCACACAGACCTCTTTAGTTGCCCTGGACATGAACCAGATCTGTTCTTTGCTTATCCGATATAGCTCCGTACATCGTAACACTTCCTCAACAGCATCGGTGGAAGCGTTGCACGCAACATCCATCACAACACCTATTCCTTTACTAATTCACAAAGAGTTGCCTGTCGTAGAACAGGGACACCGGTATACATCACACTGATCATATGATCATTATCATTGCTGCTGCTGCTCTATATTACGTAGAGGTACAATAACACCAGCGCAAGTTCAGTGTCGTGCTGTTGGCGACATTCTGTTCATAAACCATGGCCGCATGGTGCTGAACTGTAGGTGTTCCTCGACAATATTTAGTGGTGCCAACTTGTCGATATCGTGCAACAGTCGGGCAACTGTGCTCTGGGTGACGATGAAATGCCTTACTGGCGATACCTGCGATCTACCAGCTTCCAACTCGACCAATCAAACTCACAATTTGATTTGATATACCAACGAAATCCCCTGACAAATTCTAAGGTTTTCAAAACATGTATATCACGCAGATCTTAACTAATTTAAGAAACGAAAACATACTGTAACAATGTAAGTGAGAGAGTGAGTTTGGTTTTACGCCGCTTTTAGCAATATTCCAGCACGGCGGACTTCACACATTGAAATGGGCTTCACACATTGTACCCATGTGGGGAATCGAACCCGGGTCTTCAGCGTGACGAGCTAGCGTTTTAACCACTAGGCTACCCCACCGCCCCGTAGCAATTTAAATGAAAAGAAACCCAATCTGCATGTGACAGAGCATCACTGAAGACAGGGAAGACATGGAACACTTTCCATGTGCGAAAGTTACCTTTTTGAGTGGATATCAACTCTAATACCAAAGTAAACTTTAAAACTTGTCATACATTGTTTGAAGTTTTCGGCGCTTGTAGCGAGAGAAAGTGCTTTATTTGGCTTGTCGTTATTGTTCGTTCTGCTTTTGGGAAACGTCTATCTGACACGTCCTGGACGTGGTGCTATCACATCTAGAACCAATTCACCTATTAAAATGCGAATTTGCAAAGACCTGATCTCAGACTAATAACTATTTCTGATGCAGAACATGGTCAATGGCATGCTTGGATGTAAAAAACATCGATATCCTGAAAGATGGGAGCTTTTCTTAAAAGTGGTACATTCAATTAACAACATTAATCATTTGAGTAATAGCACATTCTGGCGTGTGCACGGACGCATGTTCCATATATGCTTTCTGAACTCCTGTTCTGAAGATGGCCTTGAATAAATATAGTTGCAGACATTCCCATTAAAAGTCTTTCAGCTGACATACATGTGTTGGCCAAATGGAGACACTGAGGTTTTATTCGTGTGAGTGGCTATGGTATTACTCCGTCTTCAGGAAAAGTCCAGAAATATCACTTTGAGGGACGCATGGAATTTCAAGCACATTGCAACCATGTGGAAAATCGAAGCCAGATCCTCGTCGTGCAGAGCAACTCTTTCACCAGTGGGCTAGCCTACCCTACCCCATAAATGACTATTGTCTTTTAAATAAACTTTATATGATTGTTTATCAACAAAATAGCAGCACAGATGACTACTGAAATGATTTGAGCGTAGGGTGAAATAGATTGTGCATCATAACTAAAAAGTATTGCTCGAAGATCTAAACTTGCGTTCTGCTAGCTGACATGATTAAACCATTATCACTGCCTAGTCCGGAGGGTATTGTTCGGTATATGTAACACAGAATCTGTCAATATTGAATAACGTTTACGTTCTGTTGCATGTATTAAGCACCAAGCATCTTGTGTATGATATTGAGATTGTTCCTTCTGTACGGCTGAGATACTATCTGAGACATATTGTCGGCCATTCCCCTGCCACAGTCTGACGAAAAGGATCAGAGCACGTGATACGTTCATGAACTCCATTATCAACATGGTATCTCATCACACGATGTTATATTATCATTCTTCCTTGGTGCAGTGGATAGAGCGTCACCTCGAAGAGAGGAAGGACGGTAGTTCGATCCACTAACCGCGTCATCCCAAAAGAGGATGATACTTCCTGCTACAATGCCTAGTGCTAAGCATGAAGAGGACAAGATACGCACGTTGGTCGGTTGTGAGTCAGTGTACTATGTCTGAGTATTGTATTTGTCTTAGACTGCTGCATCATGTTTCTAACGCCCTTTCCATCTCTCCTAACACGTGACAGAACATTAATTTATTGTACCAAATGCATATGAGCAGTCGTGTGATTTGCTTGACAAGCCATGTACACCCCAAACATGACTTTAGTTTACAAATATTAACAAAACGCTATAAGGATGGCTTGGAGATTTTATAGAATATTTCGCACTACATCCGCAATGGGATTTCGTGTCAGATGATTGTTTATTGTCCTTGCACGCTCTCAAGGAAATCGCGCAGCGAAACAATCCCAGGAGTACAGGCGATGGATATGAACATTTTTCTATTCAATCGGACTACGTTTTTCAGTTCCATCGCAGTAATATAACCTTTATGAAAGATGGTGTTAATACATAACTGGCCTTGTTGAATGTAATTACAGAATCGGCTTTTGATCTCGATCATAAAAAAAGAAGATACTTTTTTATCGCCTGTCCTTCTATCCTGTCAGCACATTGAATATTGAACATTTTCTTTCCAGATCGGACTATGAAGTATTTTTGGGGTTCTTTCAAAGGATGTCCTCATGGAAATGAAAGCCCAAATGAGATACTTAAACCTAGTAGATAGCATTATCGATTAACATTATTGTTTGAGCAATAGCAAGTGACGAGTGAGTAGGGTTTTACGCCGCTTTCACAATATTCCAGCAACATCACGGCGGGGGACACCAGAAATGGGCTTCCCACATTGCAACCATGTGGGGAATCGAACCCGGGTATTCAGCGGAGCAATAGCAAACACAGACAGGACTGCATATAAACAAATGTGCAAGGGGATCGTTGATGGTTCAAATATTTCTTCATTTCGTTTATATTCACAACAAGTAAAGTACATTACTGGCAATATTGGAATTACATCCAAAATGACGATTTTACAACCAGGATGTTATGTTTGGTTGCAACAGACCATAACTGGTTTGAGTGTGAAGACAAAAGCTTTCAGTAGCAAATGCAAATAGACAGGTGTAATACCCAGCATTGTAAAGTCTCAATAAAAGTGCTGTTGCTCGTTTACGCTTCCGAGTAGTGAGTGAGTGAGTATGGTTTACGCCGCTTTTAGCAATATTCCAGAAACATTCTGTGGGACACCAGATATGGGCTTCACACACTGTACCCATGTGGGTAATCCAACCCGGGTCTTCGGCAAGACGAGCGAACCCACTACAGAGTGAACAGTGTTTACTGTTGTGTATGACTGACAAGAGGCGTTGTATCAGATTGCTGCCTTCTGTGTCGGCTTAAAAAGCTGACACCATGATGGGCCGATTCTATTAGGTTGCTGACAAGCCGATCATGTAATGTCGCTCGAAAGTGAGTCATCATCTTAAGGTAATAGCACGTCTCTGAACTAACATCCGTGTAATGTTAAACCTTCGCTGCTACTTGCTTGGGTGTTATTTTCGCCGTCGGTTTAAAAAAAGAACTGTAGGTATTCTTGTTGGTGGACGTGACGGTTTGAGACATTGACAAGAGGTGTTCAGCATACTTATCCTTCACTTCATTGCAATCGCCTTCGTTCGAACTCTAATGAACGTGTCTTCACTGCCGAATTATGTCCCAGACGGACACCTAACCAATGATTAGTCAGCTTTCCCCTTTCGTATCTACGTCTGACACGTCTTGAAGTAACATCGACACTATCTGACCCCAGAAGGCGGCGTGAAGAACAGAGCTCTGACCTAAGAACACAAGCTCCATACTCTAATTTCGGTTTAACAGTCCTGTCGCTGAAGGTATTTTCAGAGTAAAGCAATTAGACGGCCACTCAGCACGGTCTAAGTGAAAGTATTGATGCTTTTTATGACGTGACCTGGAATGAGATATAGTCCTCTGATGCATTTTAAGATGCTGAAAACTTAACGTGTTTCGAACGTGGAGTGCATTACAAGCCTATTTACATACTTCCAACGCTAAATAAGAATGGCCTACACAATTATGGTATTGATCACAGAGCATGAGAGATAGAGTTTTCAGATCGTGTTTGATATTAATAATTTTAGATGCCCTTCATGACACAATACGAAGTATTGAAATCAGATAAGACATTGTAATGCTTTTGGAGAAATTGAGACGATCTGAACATGTAAATAGCCATCAGCGTTGTCAGGCTATCTCAGAGTGAGTGATAGTCTTGTCAGTCACATACTGGATAGTGTAATAGCCGTGGGGAATGGGTTTATTTAATGTGATCATTATATCGTATTGATTGCAACTTGTCATCTATGAGGAAGACATAATAGCATCACCTTCTTAAAAGGTGAACACGTTATACAGTTGACCATCGTTATTCAGGATCCCTCTTTCACGAATGTCTTTTGTGACACAATGGACAATAGGCTCACTCTGAAGTTTGGCGGGCCGATCTCACTTGACACGGCAACGAGAATGATTAAAGGGACTCATGGACATGATTGTGTCCGTATCGGAAGCCAGTTCTGCTTGTTCGTCTTATGAATGAGTGAGTTAAAATTTAACGTCACATCGGCAATATTGCAGCCATATCGTGACGAGGATTTGAATAATAAATAAAGTGGTAATAAATAAAGTCAAATTATAAGATCCTGTCAACGAAGGACAGTAAAATAGCTAGAGGATCACATATATAGATATAAAACTAGTACGAAAAACTAAAACTTTTAACTATGGAAGACAATACAATATAAATTCAGGCTACATATTGCCAACATCGTCTTACGATACGTTTGCACATTATAAATAGAGGTATGTGATGGACGAGTGGAAGAGTTTGAAGGAAATGTAAATTTGATCCAATTAAATGCATTCAAGAGAGTGGGGCTATAGATAAAATATGATAATAGTAAAGGTTTGTGAAGTGAAGTGGAAAAGGGTTCACTGTCGCGTTCATCTGTTAAGCATATATTTCGTTGTGCATACAGGCGTGTACTAGTCCAGACGCATATTATATTGGTGTTTTAATGTAACTCATCCAAGATACCAAGCAACAGTTTAATATGGATTCATCCCTAGACAAAGTGTCGTGACCTGTCCCTGCCTTGTATTACTAACACACAGCGTCAGACAGGGTAAGAAAAAACACATCTGTTGAACGTCTTTACTACGCGTCCAGTTGATGGAACAACCGACCCTCTCTGGACAAGACAATCTATCATCTAAAGCACGTCGTCAGTTCTGTCTAGGCAATAACAGGAAGCCATACATACCAGTATAGTGGTGACAACCTTTCGACTTTTTGTTGACTTTGAACTTTCGTTAGCGGATCCCTGCTCACCAGCATCGTATATTGTTCTTAAACCGGATATGCTGTCCCATTCACCAATCTGAAACACGACCAACAATCTTACTTTGATTCAAATGATTCAATGATTGCCACTGAGTGAGTGACATGCGATAAGGTAAATAAAGCCAATAAGCACAATGCAAACATGATTGAGCAAGGTGCGGTTCACTTCAGTTAGCACTGCAGGCCTTGGGCGGATGCAGGCCTTGTTCGTATGTCGTGAAACCCATGGTGTGGACAGACACATTATCGAAGTAAATCTAGAACAGAAACCAACAGCCAGAGGTTCCGGTTCGTCTAAAGTATACAATCCGCACATGAAATACACCTTAGGTGACAGGTCATCCATGTAGTGAGTGAGTGAGTGAGTTTAGTTTTACGCCGCACTCAGCAATATTCCAGGTATATGGCGGAGGTCTGTAAATATTCGAGTCTGGACCAGACAATCCAGTGATCAACAGCATGAGCATCGATCTGCGCAATTGGGAACCGATGACATTTCTCAACCAAGCCAGCGAGCCTGACCACCCGATTCCGTTAGTCGCCTCTTACGAAAAGCATGGGTTACTGAAGGTTCAATCTAACCCGGACCTTCACGAGTGTCATCCGTGTACCTACGTAAATCAACCTTTTCATGTGCAATGTATTGTCCATAATCAATAAGTCCACTGTGCGATTCTAACTATATCATAAATATGTGTTTATGAAATATATGTCACAGTAAGCCAACTGTTCACCTAAAAGTATAAAAGTGGAAGTGCATCAGACTTAATTTCTTTGACTGATGCGTCAAATTTTCACGTCTACCACATGTCAACCAATCAGTTTCTTTGCTGGGACTTTGAATATTGTAACCCTGTTGAAAGCGATTTGTATGAGGCTCTCTGAAATTGCGAAAGAAAGAGCATGTTTGACTGTGCCTTTAATGGCCCAGTATTTATACAAAACTGGAGCTGCTCAACATAAACGGAATTCAAAGATGACAACTGGAACGTTGAAGTAAGCCGTCTTGTCATGCAGACTTATGGACTGTTTCCGTCATTCTGGGCCCCGTTCCTCAAAGCGATTGTACCGCTAAGATGATCGTAACTTCCATAATTTAACACAGACTAAAGACTACGCTACGATCGCTTTGAGGAACGGGGCCCAGACCCTTTATATACATGTATGTATTAAGACATGACATAGGTAAGTATTAGAGTTGGGTACCTGACTGAGTGAACCTTTTTAAAAGATCTCAGTGGAGATGAACAACGGATGGTGATGGGTGGGGTGCATTCTTTTTGGCTATATTACTAGTCTAAACTGCACATAAATGTTATCAACGAAGACTACAGATGACATTTTCTAACACTTAGAAAAGTGTATGTTGTCCATATTGTCATGCAACCTTACGCCACAAGTATAACGCAACCTTGTTGATCACAAATGTGGTTGAGAGGAAGGCAAAGAATCATGAGAACGAAAATGCAAATCCTCAAAACATTCCAAGACTATCTGCACGACTCAGGAAACATAAGAGTCGTGTAAACCCTGGGTGCAACAAGTCTGTCAGCACCACTAACAATGCATTCGGCGAGGTACAATGTTACACACAAAGGCAGGATTCCCGGGAACACTAAAAATACCTATGTGCCTGTTAGATGACCAAATATTGTATCTGACCTTCTTAAACAAACAGACTTGTCTTCTATTTCAGAGTTTGGAGCTATACTTAAAGATTCTGGACTTTCCACTCTTGGGTAAAGAGAAAGCTTGATATTTTGGTTTTCTATAAAACATAACACGTTTCACTAAACACATGTATGGTTTTACTTAATTTTATAATTTGAAGTTGAGATAATGCGTTCCATTCTTGATGGAAGGTTTGTTTCTATACAGACAATATATGTTATAATAGAGGATCTCTCTGGAGTATTCTGCCACACATAATGGGCAAACATGCTCTGTGGCTTGAGATCTGGACTCCTGACTAGCCAAGGTAGAGTTGCTGCAGCTTCTTGACGCGAGAGATCAACAACGGCACACACATGATGAAGCTTAGCATTGTCGTCCATGTGCTCAACCAGCAAGCTCCGTCTAGAGTTTCAGTGATGTACCGTTATCCATTCATGTTTTGTCAAAGTCAAGTTTACAGTAGACGTGAAACTAACCCCTACACCATCCATAGACTCCTGCCAGACAGTAATTGCTCCAAGGTATTCCAAAGTGCATATGTAGTGTTTTGGCGGGGCCGAATCCGAGCTCGACCATCAGTCATAAATAAATGAAATCGACTTTCGTCCGACCAGTGGACCCCACAAGGTCTGTAAAATCCAAGGACGTCTAACTTGACACCAGGCGAGTCGTGCTGCTTTGTGCTCTGGGGGTAACAACGGCTGTCTGTAGGTATTCTGGCTCTATACCTGGCCAACTTTTCTGTTGGACTAATGACGACATGGTAGCCACGCTGTTCTGAGCACGCCACTTAACATGTACGGATGGAGACTTGTGATTCTGAGAAGAGCTCTATCCTGCCAAGGAGTTAACACCCGTGGTCGACCTGAAAGATGACGGTCAATGGAATGGTGTTCGATGGATGACAACCACCATTTCTCGCAATAACGCTCAATGACATGCCAGCATTCCGCGTGCCAATAACTTGTCATCTTTGAGCAGTTGTCATTTGAGAAGACCCCATATTTGCTTATCAAATACGATATCAACAACGAACAGTTAACTGAAACTTGATAGCTGATATTGAAACGTGATAAGACGGGTACACGTATTGCACGTGATGCTCACATTTGAGTGGGGCACGTGCATGACTGACGATGGTGTATGGTGCACTCGAATAAGCACACAAACAATCAATGGCTATAAAGATGAGGATAAAATTCATAGGTGTTGAGAGCATTGGCAACCTGTGATTTTATGAGGAGATTCCTCAGAACTTCGTGCGCAGAAGTTTGAGATGACACATTTACGTAGACTTCGGGAGAACATTTTTTTTCTCAAAATCAATCATATTTAATCAAATCTTGTTTTATAGCTCTCGTGCATATGAAGGAGCAAAGAGTCCCTCGTGATATCGACCAAAGTGAACTCTGCTCCAGTGGGGCTCGGCTTATGCTCGTATAAATCCTGAATAGACTTGCCTTCGATCTGAACTTATAACGAGGTTCTAGTAGCACAAATGTGTCTTTATAATCCCCAGAGTCGGACTCTAGGAAAATTGTAAATTAGAAGCACTATACCTCGACGTCGAGATTTAAATCACGTTTGGTCCTCCAGCATACTATGCGAATGGGAATGTGTAATCCCAGAACCAATATCTATAACTTTGATTAATTCAAACACTAGTAATACTTTTCCCCGTGTTTTTAAGCAATAGCATAATTGAAACCGACAGTGATAAAAGGGTTCTGTCCGCGACTCACCACAGCACGAATAGGCGACTGATAAAATCGAACTATTGATAACAGCTACATGCATCTTTCATAGGTCTCCATTATCCCCTAACGTTCATTTTATGTAGGAGCCATACAGGATTTGCTTTGTCTGGTGTTCGTCGACGGCTTCTGATGTGTTCTCAAAGGATTAACATTTCTAAAACAAACAGGAATATTTTTTCATAACGCCCGTGACCAAATGCGTTGTGACACACTGTTTACCGTTGTGAATATAGCGTATTCCACATGAAAGGGGAATCATGAGGTGTCGTGTCGGCAGGAAATGATAACTCGGATGAAATATGCGTCTCAGCAGGTGGTCAGTTCACCCACATTTGTGATTTTCTACTTCGTCATGTGCATTGTGTTCACAAATGGAATTTATCGAAAGCAGTTCCTCGGTTATTCAGAAAAATGGATTCGATAGTTACTTGCATGTAAACATTCAAACAGAATAATTTCAACGGGAGATGTGTAATTGAACGTGCATCTATGGGGAAAATGGTCTCGTAGACCTAGTACTATTCAAATAGTGGGACAATATTGTATAACCTTGTAATTCAGTGCAAACCAGTGTTGTAACAGCATTCTGTACATACAGTAGAGGGTAGTGGCATGCTAATCAATAGTAATCTTGAAGCCTCAAGAACAGTAAAGATTAATGCAACTTTGTAAATAACTTCCTGGAAGTTTTCTTCCAGGGTACAAGGGATATACTGTCATGACGTCACAATACATCAAGAGGTCGTGTGAAGGTCACTGTGCATTCCTGGATATCCGGCCTTGGCTAGTGTGCCAGTTTGACCACTGTTGCTATTGGGTCACTGACTACGATAATAATATTTTACTATAATCTGTAAACCTAGTTGAGTATATAGTACAATTTTTAACTGAACAACAGCGTTTTTTTCTGTTTTTTTCTGTTTAACTCAATATCTGTATGCGTAACGATATCTTAGTTAACTCAATTTGGCTGCCGATACGTAACGATGTTGTCAAATATATCATGGATGGAGTATCATGGGTGGATGAAGCACAAGTGGATAGAGGTGTATAAAGGAGCTGTGATATGTAGTGACAAAGATCAACATATGCCCACGTATAAGGGCGTTAATGGACACATGTACATGCTGAGGTTAGCATGCATAATGCATAACGGATGCCTTTCCTCACTACAGATATGTAAAATACATTGACCAATATCAACATGTACGTACGTTTAATGGCGCGGTATTGAAAGGCATACATCATCATGTGTACTAAAATATGTATATCTCTACCGCAGACGTCTCCATACATTTATTGATACATATACCAAGTGCACTCATTTTAAACGTAACTCTTGCATCCAACATTACTGGATAGTGTCCACGTCAGCATGTATAATGCACCGCGGATGCCTCTACTGACTATAGATATGTTGATATATTGATACGCGTGTACATAAGCCGGCACATAACACCATGCGCGTCCTTGTAGACGGGAATACTTGCATGGACACTCGGGCATGCAGTGATATGTGTCACACCAAACACCTCATCCAATGTTGGAACTAACGTACTTGCAATAGAAATAGATACTGCAATCCAAATGCTTCCGTATGTACATC